ATTTGGGATCAAATTGTGGAGATAGGTTGGGATTTTATTGTAGAGGATTTTGAAAGTAGGGTAAATGAGTTCTGACTTACTCATAAGTTTTTGAAAGCATTTAATTTGATTTGTTTTAATATTTGTAGTCCATATTCTGATTATAGTAAAAGTGCACACTAATTGTAATGAATTCAGATAATACATAAATAAAGAAAAACATTAAGAATTACCCATAGTATGCCCTGGCTGGTGTGGCTCAGTGGATTGAGCACTAGCTGTGAACCAAAGGGTCACTGGTTTGATTTGCAGTTGGGGAACATGCCTGGGTTGCAGGCCAGGTTCCGGCACTCGAGAGGCAACCACACATTGATGTTTTTCTTCCTTTCTCCCTCCCTTCCCCTCTCTCTAAAAATAAATTTAAAAATTATTTTAAATAAAGAATTACCCAAATACTAGAATATAGACAATTATTAACTTTTAAAATACATGTCTGTTTAGCACTTTTAAAATATGTGTGTGTATATTTATATATATATTTATTTATTTCTATTTGTGTGTGTGTGTGTGTGTGTGTATAATGACATTGTTACCACACTATTTATAGTTATCCCCTGAACTTTTTACTATGGAAATGTCCAAACACACCAAAAGTATAGCATAATGAACTTCTGTGTAACAATCACTCGGCTTCAATCCTGGCTAATCTTCTTGCTTTTTCTTCTTCCCATGTACACATTTCTCCCCCTCTAGTATTTTAAAGGAAATGTCAAAGTCAGTGGGATGTAAAAATTACCATAAATCCTTTATATATGATGACCAAGGGAGGAGAGATTGTGTTAGTTTGCTAGAGCTGCTGTAAGAAAATACCACAGACTGAGTAGCTTACGCAACAAATTCATTTTCTCAAGTTTTGGAGCTGAAAGTGCAAATCTTTCCTCTGTGGCTTGCATGCTCCTCCTGTCCCTGTGTGCATCCAAATCTCCTTTAATAAGGACATCAGTCAGATCGGATTAGGTTCCGCCCTATCGCTCTTGTTTTAACTTAATCACCTCTTTAAATGCCCTACCTCCAGATACAATCACATTCCGAAGCACTGTGGGTTAGGGCTTCAACAGATGAGTTTTGGGGCACTCAACCGATGACAGATGTTAACGGCAACTCTGAAGTTTCTACTCTTAGCAGTGTTACTTGTATGACAAAATTAGAAAGACTCAGGGAAGTACAATGATGCTTCTTTTTATCCTTAGGAGTTATTCTTACCACTTAGAAGTTATTCTTGTATATTAACTTTCAGTTTCGTCTCTCTCTCCTGTTAGGCTGCAGGGACCTGTTTCATGAATCTTATCATAGTCCTCTCAGAGTACCCAGCGCAAGGGCAGCAGAGAGGAGTTAGTTACCCAGTGAGTAAGCATGATTCACGTAGCCGTCCAAAAGGGTGCTTACAGCCTGGGATTAGAGAACAGAAAAGAAAGAAAATAGATATCCACATTCCTTGTCTTTTATTTTACTTTTGGTGGGTTGCAGAATCTACCAACTTTCTGAGTATTTAAAAGTTGATGCACAGTTATGCACAATATTGTCACCATCTAAAACAAATTTCCTTAGAGACACTTTATGTTCATGTTCGATTTTGTGTTTATTGCATGGGAACCAAATGGGGATGGCGAGAATGGTCCACATATGTTGGGCCCCTCGTACGACTCAGAGAATTTCTAGTGCTCTCCTGTACTAACTCATTTTTTTTAAAGATTGTACTTATTTATTTATAGACAGAGGGGATAGGAGGGAAAAAGAGAGAGTGAGAGAAATATCAATGTGTGAGATATATATCAATTGGCCCACAACCCAGGCATGTACCCTGACCAGGAATTGAACCAGTGACCTTTTGGTTCGCAGGCCAGCACTCAATTCACTGAGCCACACCAGCCAGGGCTCATTTTCTTTCTTTTTTATGACAGTGCTAGTATGAGTCTCATTTTAAAATGAAGAAACAGGCACAGACAGTTGAATAAATGACTTGGAGGCATAGTCAGCAAGGCGCAGAGCCAGGATCAAAGGTCAGCAGCTGGATTTGAAGCCGAGCTCTAGTGCTCTCTACCTGGACAGCACTGAGCAGGTTACTTAACTTCTCATTTTACCTGTCCAGTAGGAGTAATAGCAATACCTATGTCCTGAAGTTTTTGTGAAGATTGAAAGAGAGATGAGCCAAGATTCGTGGAGCACAGTGGATTGAGCATGGGCTGCGAACCAAAGGGTCTCCAGTTCAATTCCCAGTCAGGGCACACACAGGCCTGGGTTGCAGGTCAGATCCCCAGTAGGGGGCGCATGAGAGGCAACCACAGACTGATATTTCTCTCCCTCTCTTTCTCCTTCCCTTCCCCCCTCTCTAAAACGAATAAATAAAATCTAAAAAAAAAAAGAGATGATATATTATAGAAAATGCTTGAAATATGTCTGGCGCATAGTAAATCCTCTATGTATTACAGACTAGAGTTGTCCTTTTTTCTCTTATAGATGAGTATACCACATGAAAAATGTTGCAAATTAGTGAAAGGACAAAAAAGTATTTGAAGGCATTCTTTTCTCCTCGAATTTCTGCTTTGGTACTTCAAGTCCAACATACAGTTTAGCAAAGGTGAGTAGCTTCCGTGATAACCATTGTTCAAACCTAAAACTAATTTGCTTTCTTATGAACTTAGAGAATCCCTGGGGGGTGTTTGTATGGTCCTTACTGCTTTAAAAAGGTCTAAGTCTGTTGTATCTAATATTGTAACCATTAGCCACATGTGACTTTTGAGCACTTGAAATGTGGCTAGTGCTAATTAAGACACACAACAGATCTCAGACTTAGTATGAAAAAAGAATGTAAACAATGTCAATAATTTTTATATTGATTATAAGTTGAAGTGGTAATATTTTAGATATATTGGGTTAAATATTATCATTAAAATTAAGCTTTTTTTACATATTTAATTGAATTTATTGGGGTGACATTAGTTAATAAATTATGTAGGTTTCAGGTGTACATTTCTATAATACATCATCTGTATATTTTTGTGTGTGTTCACCACCCAGAGTCCATGTGTCTACTAGAAACATTTAAGTGACATGGGTAGCTTGTGTTATATTTCTGTTGGCACAGCAGAAATGGAAGCCTCCCTTTTCACTCTGAGAATTTGCCTCCAGGGGCATTTACAAGTCACTCTTTTGCCTCTTACAACTCTAAGGGCATCTTACAATGGAGAGAAGCGGGTAATCAGGAGACCTGAGTGCCAGGCCCCGCCCCACCAGGCCCCGCCCCGCCCCACCTTGCCCCTGGCTTCCTGGGCGTCCTTGGGCGGTTCACAGAACTCCCAGAGAGGCACCACAGGGTAGTGCGTGGTTCTCAAACTTTGGTCACGTCACAATCTCCTGGGGACTTGGTGACAAATAGAAAGACTCAGGCCTTTCACTGTTTCACTGTGTGGAGCTCTGTTAGCTTTTTGGGTGATTTCAATGCTATTCTGATCACCTCCTATTCACCCTGTTTAGGAAGGAAGATAATTATTGTCTCAATCTTTAGAATAGTTAGGAAGATCGAATAACACGTTATCATGTCAGGCATTCATGTAAATGATGCCCTGGTAGGTAGCAAGTCAGCTGCTATGAATGTCAGCTACTGTCATTTTTATTGGGAGTATTTTGTGACTGGCCCAGGTTTCCTTGTGGGTAAAATTAGGTGGTTAGAGTTGGTTTTGGTGCCCCCTCTGATCCTAACAAACTTTGAATCTAATCCTTTTTATTAGCATCAGAGAGGAAGAGGAGCTTGTAATTTGTGTTCACCCTTTAATTTTTTCCCCCTTGGGCAAAAAGGCAGTTTGTCAGGGTTAGTGAGACGGAGGTGAAAACCCCAAAGTCCGGCTGAACCTAGAGGGCTGTTTTTTGGTCAATTTTACCCAGGTGTGATCAGATACCAACAGCATCAACATCATCTAGGACACAAACGGAGATTCTGAGTCCCCATCCTTGGTCTCCTGATTTAGAATTTTTGGGGGGGGTGAGACACAAGCAGCTGTATCTTTTTCTTTTTTAATTTTCTTTTTTATTTTTTAGAGAGAGGGGAAGGGAAGGAGAAAGAGAGGGAGAGGAATATCAATGTATGGTTACCTCTCACACACCCACTACTGGGGACCTGGCCTGAAATCTAGGCATGTGCCCTGACTGGGAATCAAACCAGCGACCCTTTGGTTCACAGGCCGGCACTCAATCGTCTGAGCCACACCAGCCGGGGCAAGCAGCTGTATCTTCAGAGGATCTCCAGTCGATTCACAGACCATTACAGTTTGAGAAGGATTGGTAGAAAGAACAGACTTTTCATTTCTTACAAAAAATATTTTCTGATTCCCTCTGGCTAAATCACACCGCCTTTGATATTGGGTATCAGGATGGCCTTTTCTCCCTTGATTCAGGTCTCTGCTGAAACGTAAAAGCGGCCTTCCATCCGTGACAAAAACTTCGTGGGTAACGGCCCCTCCTTATGCGTCCTACCCTGCCTTACAGTTCACAGTGCCTCTCACTTGTCATTGGCTTGTTGTCATCCTTGTTCCCCATTATAATATCAATGCCACCAGGTCAGGGTCTTTGCCTATTTTGAATTTAGAAGGAAGTGACTTCTTTTAATTTAATTTTATTTCTAATTTTCAGGTATTATTTGAAACATTAACAATCTTCTCTTTAAATGCAAAATAACTGATAAAAAGAAAAACATTGAAAAACATATCATACTCTACTAACCCTTTGCTCCATAACAGACATCAGCCTTCGGTACTTGCTTTTAGGTAATTGGGTGGGGGGGGGACCCTTAAAACTATTATGTTTCTCCAAAAGAAACAAAGTTGAGGTATTCTATTTAACAGAGGTGTGATCTCCATCCAAACTGGTTTCTCAGCTCATTAACAGCCTTGTTACATGCTGTTCCCATCCTTTCCTTCTAGAGCCGATCTTGGTTTGAGCCTGTGTTCCTAAAACTGGCAACAGTCACAAACATGGACACTCCGTGGACTGTGCGTGACTCCTGCACAGGGGCCAGGCTACTCTTCTCTGTATCGTTTCAGTTTCACCTCATGTGCCGCCGAAGTGAGCACAGGAGTGGTTCTTGGTGTGGCTGGCTCTCTGCTGACAGTCTCCCTGGCCCGGGGCCTCTTCCCCCTCAGAGCGCATGTCCGCTGGGAGAGGAATCTGTTTGCAACTTGATAGTAGTCTTACTCCTCTCTCCTCAAGTCCTTTGCTGCTTTCCTGCTGCCCTGTGGATATAACCGGGATTCCCTTATCAGGGTTTCAATCCTGCCTTCCTGTGGTCCTTTTCTGCCTGTTTGTCCTCGCTTACGTTGCAACATCGGTTTCTCTCGCAGTTTTTCAGTAATTCTGCTTCTCTTTGGCTAACAGAACTCGGTCATCCTCCCGGGAGCAGATCAAGCTGCCTTTATGTAGAACCCGCTCCCCTCGAGCGCCGGCCTTCAGGCCTGTGCCTCCAGAGGACCCTGGTCACTCCTCTGCTACTTGGCATGTGTAGTATAAGTAGAAGACTGGGTAATTGTGTCTCTTTTAATAAGATTTCCATAAGTGTTCAATGAATTAATCAACATACTTAATGAAGAATTAATGTCAGCCTGGCTCAAGTCAGTGTTGCTCAGTTGGCTTTAGCTTTGTCCCATAACTAAAAGACTGCAGTTGCAATTCCCAGTCTGGGTGCAGGCGCCTGTGACCCCCAGTCTGGATGCATGCGATCCCCAAACACCTGATCCAGGTGTTGATCCCTGCTCTGGATGTGTATCGATGTTTCTGTCTCTCCCTTTCTCTCTAAAAGCAGTGAAAAAGAAGAAAGTCCTCAGATGAGAATAAAAAGAAAAATAAGGCCTGGCTGGTGTAGCTCAGTGGATTGAGCACAGGCCTGCGAACCAGACAATTGCGGTTCGATTCACAGTCAGGGCACATGCCGGGGTTGCAGGCCAGTTCCCTGCAGGCCACTTCCCAGCAGGGGATGCATGAAAGACAACCATACATTGATGTTTCTCTTCCTCTCTCCTTCCCTTCCCCTCTAAAGATAAATAAATAAAATCTTTAAAAAAAAAAAGAAAAACAAGTTAGCCTGTGTAATGCTAATTATGCAGGCAATAAAATAATTGTTCTTGATATTTCGATGGACCCATTCTGTGGATTTTGCAACAGGATTCCATGTAGGCATGTTTTAAAAATGGCATTTTAAAAAATCTATAGGCTCTTTTCTTTCTAAAGGTGATCTTTTTTAAAATCTTTTTCTTTTCTTTTATTTTTATTTATTTTTCAAGTACAGTTTTCTGTCTATTTCTCCCATCCCAGCCCACCCTGCCCCATGCTCCCCACCTCCCTCCCATTTCCACCCCCTTAGTTATTGTCCCTGTGTCCCTTATACTTGTTCCTCTAAATCCCTTCCCTTTTTTCCCCTAAAGGTGAGCTTGATCTTGCCCAAGGATGGCCACTGTGGTGAAAGACCCAGAGGAGAAACGTAGAGATAAAACCCCTGCTCTCCAAGTCCTCCAAAGTAGGATCAGCCTCAGATCTTACAACTCAGAGACTGTAGGTCAGTCCATCTAGGCTCCCCACGCGCCTCTGCCTGACGGCGGGTTCATTCCTCAGGACACTGCCAAGCGGTTACTGTGTTACAGGAACTGTTCTAAGTGCTGGGGCCATAACTCGGAGAAAGCAATCACAAGGGAGACTTTCCCCCAGAGCTGATGGAAAGATCTCCCTGCAAATCATTCTTAACTGAACAAAAGTCGCTGGGCAAGTATAGAGCCAGAACAAAGTGAGTTACAAATTCCAAGGGTATTTTCTTCCAAGACTGGAGAGTTTGACATTGCCCTTTTCCATACGAGGGTTCTTCTATCTGAAGTCGAAGGACTAATCATAATTAACTAATAAATAATAAAACAATAGTTAACTAATGATAATCTCTTAACTTGGGCATCTTACTCTCAATTCCCACCTTTCTCCCTGCCCCGCCCCCAGTCAGATTTTTACCCTGAGAACTACAGGGAGAACTTGGGTCAGAGCCACCGTGTGTGGTCAGGCGGGGCCCTCATTGTGCAGGGGCTCCAGGAGGGGGGAGGGGTACAGGTATCCAGATTCCAACCACTGTCTGCTCACCAGACTGTGTGGCTGCAGCCTCCCCGAGGCAGGGGTGCCTTGACTATGCAAAGTAGCCATACAGATGACTGTGAGTGAGTGCTAAGCTGCTGGACACTGTTCCAGATGTTTTATGTGTGGTCCCCTAGGCTGACTGACCTCCCTATGCAGTTTTAGGACGTGGTGGTGATTTTTGTCATTATCCCCAACATTCAGATCGGACATTGAGGCACACAGGACTAGCAAGTCCCAGATGCCAGTATTCAAAGACCAGTGGTCTCGCCGCAGAGCCTACAGCCTTCACAGCTCCTTCCTCTTCTCCCTCAAGCAGCCACTTTGGCTTCCCCCCCTGATTCTGTCTCTCCTTTATCCCTAGCTCTCAATCCCTCTTTCCTTTTCCAGTGATCCCTCAAACTCCCATCTGCTTATATTTGCCTTTAGGAGCAACAGAGAGACGAGGTCCAGGGTACTGGCCCTGCTGCGAGAGCCTCGGCTTCCCCATCTGTGAAGTGGGAACAGCAGTCCTCATCCCCCATTGACTGAGAATGTCCTAAAATGCCAGGGGCTGTGCCAGCGGCCTCACATGAATGAGCTCATTTGTTCCCCACAATAATCCTGGGACGGACATTCTGTTTTTATCCCCTTATTACAGCCAAGGATAGGCCCAGAGGTGTAGGTGACTGGGCCAGAGTCACACGACGGGCACAACAGTAGCTTCTTCCCAGGTACGTGGGAGGTACCTTAATGAAACAATGCCAAAAGCTTCACGAGGTCCCCAGCATGTCCTTGGTGCTTATTTTATGTGAAACATTGACATTTTTGTTATTTAGTTTTATCAGGACTGTGATTGCCATAGCTTGTTCATTTAAAGGACATACTGACTGATTACCTAGCTTATGGTTAAATAAATCCTGCAAAGTCACAGGTCTATCGTTTCTTTTCATCTCCATGATAGTCTTTTTTCTAAATTATTTTTTTTAAGATTTTATTTATTTTTTAGATAGAGGAGAAGGGATGGGGAGAAGGAGAAAAACATCCATGTGTAGTTGCCTCTCACACGCCCCCTACTGGGACCTGGCCTGTAGCCCAGGCATGTGCTCTGACTGGGAATTGAACGGGGAGCTCTTTGGTTTGCAGGCTGGCGCACAGTCCACTGAGCCACACCAGCCAGGGCTCCATGAGAATCTTTTTAAGGCCCTACTTTTAAAGTAAATTTGGCAAGAACTTAACAGCTTTTTAAAAACAGTCACCCACCTAGTCAAATTCATAGAAAAAAGACAGTGTTCAGCAGGAGCTGAGGGGAGCGGGGTGGAGGGTTATTGTTCGATCAGCACAGCGTTTCCATGCGGGATGGTGAGAATTTTCTGTAGATGGGTCATGGTGATGGTTGCACAGTATGAATGCACTTAATGAATATACAACTGAATGGTCAAAATGGTAAGTTTTCTTATGTGTGTTTTATACAAGAAAATTGTCTATGTAACCTTAAATATTATTGCAGAGGCATCAAGTTACGTATGAAAAACCAGAGAAAAGACTGGGTCTGGAACCCAGTCTGCGCTCTGCTCATCAAGCCCCCCACGCCCCCCCAGGGAAGGGGCATCATTGCTTTTTCACGTTAATGAGCCATGTGGGTTCGTGACATCCTTGGCCAGAATCTAATGGCTTTTTTTCTCCTTCCCCCTTGTGCCTTCCCAAGACGCAGCCCTTCCCCAAAAGAAGGAGGACAAAATGACCAAGTTCCAGGTGAGTAGGGCGTGCCTGTCTAGGTTTTGAATTGTCATCTCATTTCTCCATGAGTAGACACATTCTGTTTTCTTTTCTGGGGAAGGATTAAACAGAACACTAGACATGTGGGACCTTCTCAGGTGCAGTGAAAAAATAAATCTCCTGCTTTACTACTGTTTTCCTTACAAAATGTCTGTTTTCATTTTTCCATGTTCTTTTCCTCACATGCATTGCTAACTTTAAAATATTTTATTTATTAATTTTTTTAGAGAGAGGGGAAGGGAAGGAGAAAGAGTGGAAGAGAAACATCAATGTGTGGTTGCCTCTCACACGCCAGTGCCCAACCCATTTAAATTATTAAAAAAAAAACGAAAACAAAGGCCCCCTACTGGGGACCTGGCCCACAACCCAGGCATGTGCCCTGACTGTGAACTGAACCCGTGATCCTTTGGTTCACAGGCCAGCACTTAATCCACTGAGCTACACCAGCCAGGGATATACTGTACATTTTTAATGGCAACTACATTCCCTTGAATTGATGTACTCTGTGTGTGTCTGTCATAAGTTTTTCTCATTCATGGACATTTAGGTAGTTTAGAATTTTTACTGTTTTAATGAGTGTTGTAATACCACTTTTCCTATTATGACCATTTTCCTCAAAAGTGAATTTGGAAGAGCTTGCCATTCTTTGTTCTTCATGTTTAGGAACTCCAAATTGAAAAGGCACGTTTGGTGTGTGGAAACGTGGGTATTTTGTGTGTAGGATATCTCAGTACGGCCTGGTGCAACAGGCCCTAACCAACAAATCACACAGAGAGAATATTGTTAGGTGTCTTTTTTTCTTTAAAGTTTCTTAAAATCAAAGTTATTAATGCACATAGTGTAAAGAGTCAAATAAAGGTGGTTTTATAAAGCATTAGGAGAAGACACAGCTCCTTGTCCGTATCCTTCCCATCTGCCCCTCCCCCCAGGCAGCCACTCTCAACTCGAGCTGATAGTTTTGGTGCTGAGGGAAAGAGGATGTCTCTCCAAAATATGCCTCTTTCACATAAAAAAACGATTTCGAGAGGAAGACAAGACACAGCAAAGGCAGGAAAAGCTCTCCCTACCCTTACCCCTTTTCTGTCTAAAGGCAGAATATAAATTCTCCTTTTCTTGAGGTAGTACTTATCCTTCCAGAGATGCACCAGAAGACTCTGCAGACAATCCTTACTCCATTAGTTCCCTCCCATGTATTTCCCTTCCAACAGTT